GTGGAACCAGGCAGAACTAATGTATTATCTCTTTTCTGCGGCAGTTTCCGCAGTATGTGGATCATTCCCTGGCCCAGAAGAGCTTATATTCTAATGTCCCTAAAGGATAATTAAACTTTCCTGTATTTTCGCATACTAACAAGCAGTAGATCTATGCAAAAACATTAGAAAAAAAAGTTTAGAAAAAGGGCTCAAACTTACCTGTGTCTCCGCCGTGCGCTCCCCTTTGAAGATCTGAAGATTCTCGGGCGGCCACAAAGGATTCGGGGACGAGGAGAGACACAAGGTAAGTCAATGGAGGCAGTGTGCACCCACACAGACTCCGTGGGACAGGAAGTGGAAGAGAGAGGAGTCAGCATATATCTGAGACCGGCACCAGCGCTGGAGGAACTCCTGAAAACTACAGGAAAGAAGAAGATCGGATCAAGAGGCATCATTTAAGGTAACTCCTTACACTAGCATTTGGGGAGATTGCCGTCAATGTCACTATAATAGTGATGAGCTGGAGTTTGGTGTTGAACTATGTTCTCCCAAGCCTGCTCAAAACTGTGGCCAACACACCTCCCTACAGGTCAGTTGCAGCAGGGGCATTCACCTCCCCTATGTGAGATGTTGCTGCGAGGCATGGAATGCACAAGCCACAACTGATTTGGCTGGGAGGGGAGTGTGCGGTATCCGTTTTCTGCGAGCTTGGCCAAACTTAGGCGAACTGGGTTTGCACCAAGCCCCAGTTCATCCCTAGCCTTTATCAAAGTCATACCAGTTAAACTAGCCTGAGACAGGAAGACATCTCGTATCTTTTCAGCTCCTCTATGCCATATTTGAAAATTATGGACAGTGCAGCCCTAAAGTGCATGCAATATTTAGCTCAAGTCAAATTCTGTGCACCCCTGCTTCTTCTGGATCCTTCAGGTTCATTCCACTCGGAGTCGCATATCCTCCTTGTGAAAAGTCTTCTCAATGCACAGCAGTATCCCCATTCATTTCTTTGGAAAGGCCGCCCACCAATTAGACTAAATCGTGCTCAAAAGACAGTTATTCTTAGGACCAGGATGGTGTAAATCCAGGTAATCTGCCATTTCTAAGCACTCTAAAAAAAAAGTGAACTGCACACAGACCATCCATCTTAGAGACTTATTAAGCTAGCTCCAGGAGGGTGTAAATCCAATCTTCCAGCCAACTCCAGTTTAGACTAGAGGGAGGAGTTGGAACGCCTGTCAGGTTTTAATTGCCCAATAATTCTTTAAGTGATAAGCGTGCTGGATCACTCGCTGTGTATCCCTTTTATATTTTGAAGTACTGACAGCTCTCTTTATCCTAGGACTTCTGTGGATGGTCCATAGGGAAAATTGAATATAGAATTAAGGATAGAACTGCCTTGCCACATACGAAATCCAGAGTGATAAGTGATTTTTTATTTAAAATCACCTAGAATAATCCAACGCATTTCAGGGATTGTGTATATATTAGTTTAGTTTGGCAGCAAATCAGGGAAGTGTGATATAAGACTCCCAACCGAACTGCTAGCAATCGATCACCTGTACTCCTGATTAATATAACCCGAGTCAGATTTTTCCTAAGCTCATTCAGCCCTGAGGAAGGGAGATTTTTTACACTTTGTTTCTTGTTTTTTTAAACTTTGGCTTTTCCTTGGCGATTTTACATAACGTATCACTCTGGCCTTTCATATGTGGAGTGGTGTATTTATTGCTGCCTGTGACTCTTTGTGGAAATTTCCC